ATGAAAAGGCCCAAAGTAAAAAAGCATACGCGCAATAATTCACCAACTTGTTTATATTATTATCCTGTTCCTGTCTGTCCCACTGCTTTTACTTTTGGGCAAAACTTTTAGGCAAAAGGTACCCGTTTGCCCTTTAACTTTTTGAATTTGAGGGTTTTTACCTTTTATATTATAATACATGAATTTTTACCTTCAATATTTTCAAGTTTGAGGAAATGAGACAAAATTTAACGCCAGAGCGTCACGTGTGGCACGTGCACCGTTGGTCTCCGTCAAGTCTGCACATGTCAGTGCCAACTCAGACTTTTTTGACAACTTGGCATGCCAACTTGGAACCCCATGAGCAGGAAGTCTACCTGCTACCAATTTTATTTGTGGGTCCCACCGCAGACCAAAGGTTTGAAAAACAAGGTTAAATCCCCGATTCAGTCCCTCAACTTTTATTTTTGAACTAAATTTAACTTCGAACTTAAAAAAGCACTAAAAAAATCTTTCCTTTAATAAATAAAAATTTCTTTTTTTCCTTTTTTCTTTCCTTTCCTTTTTTTTTTTCTCCTTCTCTTTCCTTTTCTCCTTCCCCTCCCTACTGGGTTCGAAGGAACCCAGCACCAGCGCCTGGGTTCCTTCAAAGGATTTCAAGACAGCCATCAATGCCCAGCTTACTAAATAGTGAATAAAAGTAAGAAATACTGGGAACTAGAACCCAACATTTTTAGGAACCTGCACAAACAAAAAGGAACAAGCTATGCAATTACCACTAGAGAGCTGTCAAATGTAAAGCCAGTAGTAGCACATACATAATATGGTACAAAGAACGAACCCATTTGTTCATGAAAATAATACCAACAGCAACCATAAAATTGAATGTGAGAGTTGAAACAAGACCCCAAATTCTTTGCTGTTGAGTTTTTGCGCTTTCAGATGGACGGAATTTGTTAAATATAGAAGCTCGCAAATCTTCCAAAGCTCTTTCAGAATGTTTAAAGATGTTATTCCCTCCAGCATCCAAGAGATACACATGCACTCATACTTGGTTTCAAATAGATAAACTAGATAAGAAAAATTTACCCTTCGACTCAAACCCAAGCCTTGGGTTCCATCGAACCCAGGCGTGTTGGCTTTGAAGGAACCCAGGGCCTGGGTTCGAGGAACCCGCGCCTGAGTTCCATCGAACCCAGGCGTG